TCCAAGACGTTGACTATTCGAATAAACACATTTCTACTCAAACGAAACCTTTTTTGAAATTATTTTCCACAAAGTAATCATGATATAGATGTTTGTGTCCCTCCTCATGATTTTTGTTTAACCTCACGTTTTTCTAGTTAGTAGAGGAGCTACATTTTCTTCTAGTACTCATTAGTTTAGTACTTATACATTACGATGATGAACATATCATTATCATCCGAAGACAAGTCAAATAGATGCATAATAAAAAGAATTCGAACATTTGTATAAAAATATAAGAGTTGTGTGTAAAAAATGAATGTGTATTGTGTTATATATATATATATATATATATATATATATATATATATATATATATATATATATATATATACATACGCGCACTAGGTGTGTAAGACTCGTGTACTATACAGGTTGATTAAAAATAGTTAAACATCAAATATTTAAGTATTAAACATTTTTTAATGTAAAATTTTGAAATAAATACAAACGAAATGATGAATAACTAATTACATCAATCTATACCAATAAAAATACTATTGACGTATTTAAATAATTATGTTGAATATCATAATGTAAACATTAAATATTTTATTAAAGTAAACTTTCAAAAAAATGCAAACTAAAAGATGAATACATATCTAATTCAATCTACACTAACCTTATAAAAACAGTATTAAAACTATACTTATTTATTTAAGCAATCGGACACAACACATACACATATACAAAAAGTGTTGTGCATGCCTGTTTATTTATGGTTGTGTGTATACAATGATGTAAAACAAAACTCATGTGACATGGAAATGTTAAATATCATATTCATGGATGTAACATACTTTTAAAGAACGGTGCTTTGATATGTAAAATTAAAGTGCTTTGATATGTAAAATTAAACAAAATTATACGAAATCATCAAATATGAAAAAATATTAATGTCAAAATCTCCTTTGTAACTCCCTAAATGGCTAACTCTACCTCCCAAATAGGCTATTGTGCGTGTACTTATATGAACCACCAAATTTATATATGAAAAATATTTATTTTAATGTAATAAGATGATCCACAATAAACTATGTATATATGTAACTCTCCCATATGAAACAATTTGATAACACTTCAAAGATCAAATGTACAACCACCAAAATCAAAACAACCAAGTAAAAGAAAACATAAACTACCCTTAGAAAGCCAATTAATCACCATAATTACATTCATAACATCCATCCCTAGACCATATATGCTGACCACTCTTTAAAAAATTTCATTATGGCGTATATGTATTAACTATCAAACCAATGAAATATTTATAAGAAATCAAGAAACAAAAGCTTTTAAAGCCTTCTACTCCAATTATTGTTATGTATCAAGAGATAAATTTGAACCGAAAATTTTCAAATCTAAAAATCATCAAGTGAGTGTTCACATGTGTTCTGTGACAATCTAGAACCTCGTATGCCTCTCTGTTGTTTTGGATGATAGGCTAAGATTTGAAATTCTGGAATCATAAAAAGGGACCAGACAACACCATGATCACAACGTCATATAGGCTAATACTTTTAAGCTCCAGACCAATTTGTAGCAGAAACAGAGAGGTAAGTGATAATCTGAAAGAGTTTTTAGTCGACTACATGGATTTGAATATTCAAATTTTGAATTAGTATTAGTATTATTCACATGTGATTTAGTTTCCAATACTGAGGAAGATAAAAGGGGATTGTGTGCCGAAAGGAAATGGAAAGCAGAGAAAAATCAGGGAAAAAACTATAAATTGAATCTATTCATTTATATAGTATTAAATATAATTAGTATTGTTAGTTATCATTTTATTAAAATTGAAAAACACAAAAAAAAATGACAAACGGAAAATAATTAGTTCAAAATTATAAGAAATTAGCATGTGGCAAATTAAAGTAAAAGAGGACATATGACAAAAAAATATTCATTTATTAGCTAGGATTAGGATATATTTTTTTGGAAACGGCAAATATATTAAAATAGGTAACCCTCCTCTAGCAAGGAATTTTTATTATTATTCCAATTTGACCTTTCCAAGCGATCATATGATTTGAATTCACACGTTAAGATATACGTTGAGATTGCAATGAGGCTTAGGTTATGTTTGGCGGACTAGCTGAAAAACTAACTGTTAGTTGAAAAGCTAGATGATGGCTGAAAAGCTAGCTGTTAAATAAAAAGTTAGCTGATAACTGAAAAGCTAGCTGATAAAAAATAACGTTTGGTAAAACTAGTTGAAAAGCTAGCTGAAATATATAAAATTATATAAAATGACATGTAAGCATAAGTGTTTTTATAATTAATTAAGTGGTGTATTTGTAAAATTTAAAAAAAGCTCATAAAAAGCTAATCTAAATAGTTTTTCAAAAAGCTAGCTTATCAGCTACTTTTTGCTTACCAAATATGACAACATAAAAAAACTCAAAAAATAAGCTAATTTATCAGCTAGTTGTGGTGCGCCAAACACAACCTCAACACAACATGATTGAGTGATGTTCCTCGACCCTCTCACTATTGAGTTTGTCCAAGTCAACATCTCAACTATATTGAGAGGCTCACACCGTACATCCTTAACATTTTTAATGCATGGAAGTTCAAAGAGATTTTCTTTGTTGGGTTTTATTTTGAATCTTGGACATAAGACTTTAAAAATCATACATATTAACCATTTCTAATGAAAATTAGTCTGTTTATATTTTATAAGTATCTATTCTAGCTGATTTTGATTTTTTTTTTCAATTTTGCCAAAAAAAATATTATATTAACAAAAATATTTAGAATAATCATGGGCTTGAGTATATTCATGAATTGCCGACCAAAGATTCATGCGGTTTTTGTCATAAAAAGTATTTTCATGTTAGAAAAAGTAACATTGCAAGCTTACGGATCCTTTTTCGTAAATAGATAATTGTCTTGTGAAAAAATATATATATAAACATATGATCATAAGAAATATAACTAACATCCAAATATGGAAATTGAATTCCTAAACCTAAGTCCGACATTAGATGAAGAACAAATCATGATTAAAGATCAATCATGGTGGTTATGATTTTTTGACATATAAACAATTTATGTTTTAAACCTTATAAAACATAAAATTATTATGTATTACAAAAAAAATATTAATACATACGATATCAAGTCCCCTCACAAAAATAAAATAAAATAATAAGAAACACGCCCGGACCACCCATTTTTAATGATCGTTATTATTCTTTTATTTTGTCATATGAATATTTTCCAAATAAAAACTAAAAACCAACCCAAATTGAAATTTTGATAGGTAGATTTCTTGAAAAAAATTTACGGTTTTGTTCCTTGAACTATGGAATTTTGGTCATTAAGAACTTGAATTCGTTAAAGTGTTGCATTCAACTATCATATTCAAAAATTGGGTTAATGAACTAGAAAGGTAGCAAACTTTGATCTTTGTTCTCAATAAAGTAATTGTGTTTTTTTTTTCATACACATTTAACTATTAAACTTGTTTGACCTTTTCAAAATAAGTTAATATGACTGATAATTAACTGTAACATTACCCTATTATGAACACATCAAACAAGTTACTGGTCAAATGTGTACGAAAAAAACATGATTACCCAAATATGAACAAAAACCAAAGTTCCTAACCCATTTTGGTAATATTGGGTTCTTTATGTTCAATGCAAATAGTCATAAGATCCATTGATATGACATGAAATTGGATTGTCCCGTCTTTGTGTATGAGGAGATGGTTAAGTCTTGAGTCAACCCAGTTTAGGCCCAACTAGTTAGGGGGTAGGTTGTATAAGCTTAAAGGGTTAGGTTGTATATGTTTTAGAGACCTAGCAACATAGCCTAGCCCATGAATAGCTGAGACTGAACTTGGTTAGACCAAGCCTAATCTAATTGTTCATTGACTGTCGGAGCCTGATCCCAGTGCACAGTCCCTGAGACGGTTCTTGTCTAATATTACCAAAACGGGTAAGAAACTTTGGTTTTTGTTAATATTTAAGTAATCATGTTTTTTCCGTACACATTTGATCAATAAACTTGTTTGACTTGTTCATAATAGGGTAATATTGCCGTAATTACCGGTCATATTACCCTAATTTGAACAGGTCAAACAAGTTTAATGATCAGATGCGAACTAAAAAAACATGATCACCTAAATGTAGATAAATACCAAAGTTCGTTACCTTTCTAGATCATTAACCCTCAAAACTTGTAGGACAAAAGTTCTAAACTTGGCAATAAATTCATAAAGAAGACAAACAATTTTGGCCAAACATTATTATGGTTAAATAATATTGTTTATGTTATGATCCTCGATCTTGGATTTACTTATAATCGATTTTTCTTAAGCCTAAAGTACACTTGAAAAACACTAAATAAACTATTATATCTTGTTACAAATTTGATATGAATTATTTTACAAATTTTCAACTTTTTTTTTACAACATAAAATCTTTTAATTTAGGTTTTTGTTTTAATCTTTTTACAATTTCTTTTAAAATAACTTTTACAATTCTCGTTATATATTTTTAACGAATGTTATTTTTTACGAATTAATCTAAACATTATTTACAAATTTTACACAACTTTTTTTTTTTAATTTGCTTTTTTTAATCGGACAACTTCTTTTACATCTTCTTTTACAATTTTGCTTTTCTAGAATTTCACATCTTACTTTTTTTCAATTTGGTTCAAGTAGGAGATACCTAAATTAAATCATATACCATTAACCTGAACCAAATTCAACAAAATAGACATTTTTCTGATGTAAAACATGTTAGTTAATTTAAGTATCTCTCCTACTTAAATATCCTCGATCATACTAATTAATATTCCTCCCTGTTCACATGCCCTATTTTAACCAAAGTTAAAAAAAGATTCATCATTTCAACATCTACTTAATTACGTTTGACCTCGTGATCTCAAAAAGACAACGACTCAACATGTGGACCATAATCTCACAACAAAAATCAAAATTTAGCATCATAAACCTTCAATCCTCATCATATAAAAACATCTACACCCATGACACTTTTTCACCATATTATCTTCTTTTTCATTGATCACTTGATACTTTCATAACAAAAAAAGATGTGGAGATTAAAAACAGCAGAAGGAGGCAATGATCCGTATCTCTTTTCCACAAACAACTTTATTGGGAGACAAACATGGGAGTTTGACCCGAACCATGGAACCCCAGAAGACCGAGCCGCTGTCGAACAGGCTCGAACCGATTTCTGGAACCATCGGCACCGGGTTAAGCCCAGTAGTGATGTCCTTTGGCGCATGCAGGTTGAAAGAAAATTCTAAAATCATTAATACTTGTTTTGGTATTGTTTACTAAATATGTGGATAATATTTATATAATGTGTGTAGTTTTTGAAAGAGAAAGAATTCAAACAGACAATAGCCCAGGTGAAAATAGAAGATTCCGAAGAGATATCATATGAAAAAGCTACGACCACACTGAGGAGGTGTGTCAGCTTTTTTGCAGCTTTGCAGGCCAGTGATGGTCACTGGCCTGCTGAAAATGCGGGCCCACTCTATTTCATGCAGCCGTTGGTTATCTGTTTGTATATTACTGGTCATCTTAATGTTGTTTTCCCCGAAGAATATCGAAAAGAAATTCTACGGTATTTATATTGTCATCAGGTATGTTTTTTTTTTTTTTTTTTTTTAAATTGGATCAAATGTAAGAATTAGCAATGTATACCTTCATTTCCTTTTGCGTTAAAGCAGTTTCTTTTCAATTTTTTCTTCTTAGAGCATTATACCGTGAAAAATCTATTTTATAAATAGCATTTCATTTTGGAATTAATACATTATACTTTACAAAATCACCCTAATTATATAGCAGTGGAAACTGTTTTTCATTTGGATGATGATCATAAACTAGGCAAATTTATAAAACTACAATGTTGCTATTTATTTCATTTAATTACCTCTTTTCAATTCTAAAATGTATATATGGAATTGACAGAATGAAGATGGCGGATGGGGATTTCACATAGAGGGACATAGCACGATGTTTGGGACAACTTTAAGTTACATTTGCATGCGGCTTTTGGGTGAAGGTCTGGATGGTGGTCTGAATGGGGCATGCACCAAAGCCCGCAAATGGATCTTGGATCATGGCACTGTCACCACCATCCCATCGTGGGGCAAAACATGGCTTTCTGTAAGATATTTAAGTTTTTCTTTTTTCATTTTGTATGTATATTTAATATTTATATATTCTTTAGTTTCTATATATATATGTTACAAACTTATAAAAATATTATTTGTTTTAGATACTTGGTGTGTGCGAGTGGGCAGGAACCAACCCTATGCCACCGGAGTTCTGGCTCCTTCCCTCTTTTCTTCCAATGTATCCAGGTTAGTGTCTGACTTCTTCTGACTTAATAGGCTTAATGGATACATCATATATGACCTGATTCATTCAGATATAAGGTAGATTCGCAATCTTGTTTCTTGTATATTTAGTTATTTATATAAAACTAATACTATATATATTTTTAACTTTTAATATAAATGCAGCGAAGATGTGGTGCTATTGTCGGCTGGTATACATGCCGATGTCGTATCTCTATGGAAAAAGATTTGTGGGTCCCATTACTCCTTTAATTCTACAACTTAGAGATGAACTTTACTTACAACCCTACAATGAAATCAACTGGAAGAGTATAAGGCATTTGTGTGCAAAGGTGAAATTTTTACTACAAATATATGAAAGAAATAGCAAATGTACTTTTATTTATTTGTGTATTATAGCACCCCCTACTTTCATTTCTTTCTATTACATTTTGTTTCCAAAATGCTTGCCTGATTTTCTAATTATAAGCCTAAAGTATTCATCTAACTTATGATTTCAGGAAGATTTATACTATCCTCATCCATTACTACAAGATTTAATGTGGGATAGTCTCAACATTTTCACAGAGCCTTTACTAAATCGTTGGCCATTAAATAAATTGAGACAGAAAGCACTTGATACAACAATGAATCATATCCATTATGAAGATGAAAATAGCCGATATATCACAATTGGTTCAGTGGAAAAGGTCAGTTAATCTAACAACTTAATCAACCACACACCACCACATACATACACAATAAGAATAATCAAACAACAATGCTTTCTTTATAAGGAAAAATATTGTAATACTAAGAATGAAAGTAGGATACTATGATACACATAAATAGAAAGAAGGATTGAGAAAGACAAGTGCTAAATATTTCACCTTTGTGTATAGGCGTTGTGTATGCTTGCATGCTGGGTTGAAGATCCAAATGGTGTTTGTTTCAAAAAACATCTTGCAAGAATCCCGGATTATCTTTGGGTTGCTGAAGATGGAATGAAAATGCAGGTTATATAAAATTAAAATCCAACTTTAAAAAAAAAACATAATTTTTATAATTCTAAAAGTTGATTGTTATAATTTATATGAAATAGAGCTTTGGTAGCCAAGAATGGGATGCTGGTTTTGCCATTCAAGCTCTACTGGCTGCTGATCTTACAGAAGAAATCGGTTCGACTTTAATGAAAGGACATGAATTCATTAAAGCTTCACAGGTTTCTAATTAAAACTCATAACACATTTTTGTAACTTTTTTACTTGATTACTTATTCTTTAATTCTTGTTTTAGGTTAAAGATAATCCTTCTGGAGACTTTAAAAGCATGCATAGACATATCTCTAAAGGGTCATGGACTTTCTCAGATCAAGATCATGGATGGCAAGTTTCTGATTGTACTGCTGAAGGATTAAAGGTGTAATACAATATTTCTAGATGTCCAAAATTGAAAATATTCAAAAGGGTTGTCTTAACTCTTAGTTATAATCAAATTACTATCTTGTCCTCAGTGTTGTCTACTATTCTCAACAATGCCACCAGAAATTGTTGGTGAAAAAATGAAACCTGAGCAACTGAATGATGCTGTCAATGTAATACTTTCGTTACAGGTTAGTGTACATATACATATTTGATCTTATTTCCATTTCTTGGAAACTAATTAAAATAAAATCATTTTAATAATAAATTAATTTGATCTTGATGATGATATAGAGCAAAAACGGTGGGCTAGCTGCATGGGAACCAGCTGGATCATCAGAATGGTTGGAGATTCTGAATCCTACAGAGTTCTTTGCTGACATTGTCATTGAGCATGAGTAAGATTGTTTCTTTTCTAAACTGAATGAAAGTAAATGACAATTTTACCCTTACGAAATGTCTTAACTAGGTATGTTGAGTGCACATCATCAGCAATCCAAGCACTCGTTTTGTTTAAGAAGTTATACCCTGGACATAGAAGGAAAGAGATAGAGACTTTCCTTACACATGCAAGTGGATACTTGGAGAAAATACAAATGCAAGATGGATCATGGTTTGTTTTTGTTTTTTGTGTTTTTTTCATTATAATAAGACTTATTTTCTTTGTTTTAAACATGAGAAACTTATGGGTAGTGTTAATTAGGTATGGAAATTGGGGTGTGTGTTTTACATATGGTACTTGGTTTGCTCTTGGAGGATTGACAGCTGTCAATAAGACATTTGAAAATTGTCACGCAATTCGAAAAGGTGTTAAATTTTTACTTGAAACTCAGTTGGAAGATGGTGGTTGGGGAGAAAGCTATAAATCATGTCCTGAAAAGGTAACACTAAAGTTGATGTATAAATCATAATCACGTAACATAAAGTTGTTTCAAGAATAATAATAATGATAACATAATACGATAAGTTAAATAATCATTTGTTGATGAATGAATAGAAATACGTACCCCTTGAAGGAGGTCGATCGAATTTGGTACATACTGCATGGGCTATGATGGGGTTGATTCATTCTAGACAGGTTAGTTTTTTTTTTTTTTTTTGTGTGTGTGTGTTTTTAATTCTATATATAATTATAATGTTCGTTTTTTTATGTATGTAGTTTGTAATATTTGAATGGATTTGTTTAAAATATATAGATGGAGAGAGATGTGACACCTTTACACAAAGCAGCCAAGTTATTGATCAATTCCCAGTTGGAAAATGGTGATTTTCCACAACAGGTGACAAAAAAATGAAGTTAAATTAAATTTAAAAAATGGGAAAATAGCAGTAAATGATGAAAACAAGTGTTACGTTACTTTTTTTTCAGGAAATAGCTGGAGTGTTCATGAAGAACTGCATGCTGCACTATGCTCTATACAGGAATATATACCCGATGTGGGCTCTTGCTGATTATCGCAAGCTCGTTCTCAAAGGCATCTAAGTGGGCAAATCAGTCATTTCAATGTGTATATATATAAAGAATAAGTTACATTAATAAACTAAGAAAACAAATTATTATTAATTCTCTTCATTATTTATCGGTATATATAAGCAAAGGTTCATGTGTTCAAGAAAGAGGAAGGATGCTAAAGAGGGAATATAAGGTGGTCAAGAGAGAAATGTAAAGACTAAAGAGCCCTTGTCTTTTTTTGTTAATTCTGTTTATTTTGTTTTGTTCCTCAGTTCAATTTATGTAATGGTCCCTAAATAAATATATGAGTTATCATGAAATAATATGTGTGTTTTGTACTTCATGAATAATAAAGTTTCCAAAGAAATTACTCTCGTAAAGATTGAATGAAAATGGACAATTTTATGATATTTTCATAGATGACATCATTTCATCTGCAAAAAGACCACATAATACTTGAAGCATGAATTTTAGGGTACTTGAAGCATGAATTTTAGGGACGACATGTGTGAAATTGACGACTATTTTGATGAATGAGCTAATTTTCTATTATTTGATTTTTTTTTTCTCTTCAAAATAATATAATGTTTAATATTAACCTTTTAAATATAGTATAAAAATTATTAGGGATCCCAAAGTATTATTTCACTTATTTCTAACATACATTTCTTTATATTTAACTTTATAAGTTAGAAATGTCATAAATTACCAAAATGATGGCTAATGCGTCATTTCCTAGAACCAGAGGGGTTCCATCTTCACATTAAATAAATCTAAAGGGTCTGCTACTCTCCTTTTGCTATGATCCTAAAATAAGAACTCCATCACTCATCAGCCCATCTCCTTTCTACATCTTGATCTTCTTCACACGCCAATATACAAAATGAAGGTCGGTTGATTTTGTTCTTGACTTTTGTTTTCCATCGGTTGTAAGGAGTAAAATGAATAAAAGCATCTTTCTTATTTCAGGTTTGAAGAAGATTCATACTTGTACCCTAAATCAAAGAAACTAGTTTGCACTTCCAGGTAAATCTGATCACTCTCCCGTTTCCGAAATAATTTCTCGTTATTCATCTGAAGAGAAAAATCGATTGGTTTGACGGGGGTTTTGAATAACGCGTTCAAGGTGTTCGATGAATTGCCTGTTCACTACTCATTGAATTCAATAAATTGGATGCCTTTCAAGCAATTATCAACACTCAGCGATTTTTCTTCAAAGTAGATTTATCTGTTCATCTGATATTATCTCTGCTTCCAGTTGTTTCATGGACTATCATCTGAAATTGGGAATCGTATTGTCTCTGCTTGTTGGTATTATCGATTCCACACATTCCTCTTCATATTCTTCTGAGGTGAGAGAATTCTATTTCCTTCCATTTTCATATATAATTCGTCTTTAATTGCTCCTCTTTATCAGTTGGGAAGCCATAGATACATCACAGAAGCATACTTTCATAAACACAACACCATAATCGATCACCTTTTCCAAGATTTCATAACCAATAACCTCCCTCATGGATCCTGTGAAATGCTTCAAACTAAACACAATTTCATCCCAAAACTATCACTTTTAGGGCGAAATTTAATCGGTGAAGGTTCTCACAGGCGTCTAACTTCTTCCATTAAAATCAAAATCCATCAAGAAATTTCATCTAATCTCCCATCACTCTCCTGTAATGCCATAGTTATTGAAAGACTCCCCTCTGGAGTATTCGCTGACCCATTCGAGCTTCAACATCTTACTCAACGTGGTGGTAAATTACACTCATACCCTTCAACTAACTCTTGTACTCAAAAAGCTAAACCATGTTCTTTTTCTCTTCTTTTTTTGCAGTGTTTACTGATGCTTCTGCATTCGGGGACACTGATCTAGAATCACCTACCATAAGGGCAAATCGGTCAATTATTGAAATTCACATGGATTTGAACCCTAAAAACAAGAACAATTGGGATCTCAAGATTCAGCTTCCATTACATGCGCGTTATGCAGTATGTGAATCTAAAATTCTAAACACATTTGTGTTTTTTTACATCAATTGATTGAATTACATTTATTTTTTTTATTTTTTTTTTCAGCCTTTGGGTGAATATGGTTATACAAGAATCGAATTTGGGTCTCCTGATTTGTTTCTACAATGCACTATTGAAGGGGACCCACATAACAAAAGCTGTTTAATTTCAACCAATGACAATGATGTCAGTCTTACGTCATCAAATGTTGCTTCTATTTTATGGGAAGTACCTTCAGGAATTGTGGAACATACAAAAATTGTCTCTATGATTACTTTTATTTCAGCTTTTGTATCTGCTTTCTCAATTTTCATTGCATGTGTTTATTATCCAAACACTGAAAGCTACATTAATTTTAAACAATCTTAATATGTTACAAGTTTCATTACATCAAAACTTTTTCAGTTTTATTTCTTTATATCTTTAGCAATTAGCAACACCTTCTTGCGATAATCAGCTAGGGCCCACATTGGGTATATATTCCTGTACAATGCATAGTGCAACATGCAGTTCTTCATAAAGACTCCAGTTATTTCCTGTATTATGTAAACAAAAACGATAAATGTAACATCTTTTTTTTTTTTTTTTCGTTTAATTTTACTTGATTCAACTTTTTTTTTTGTTACCTGTTGTGGAAAATCACCGTTTTCTAACTGGGAATTGATCAATAACTTAGCTGCTTTGTGTAGGGGTGTTGAATCTGTTTCCATCTATATATATGTTTTGAACAAATTAATTAATGTATTACAAACTACAAAAGAAAATGAATATTATAATTGAATTTGGAATTTAGAATTTAGAATAAAAATAAAAAAGTGACCTGTTGAGAATGAATCAATCCCATCATAGCCCATGCAGTATGCACCAAGTTAGATCTGCCTCCTTCAAGGGGTATGTATTTCTGTTTATAAAGCAACAAAAAGATTATTCATTTTATTATTATTATTATTTTTTAAAACAAGTTTTTATCTCATATTCTCATTGAATTATTACCTTTTCTGGACATGATTTGTAGCTTTCACCCCAACCACCATCTTCAAGCTGTGTTTCAAGTAAAAATTTGACAGCTTTTCGAATTGAGTGACAATTTTCAAATGTTTTATTGACAGCTGTCAATCCTCCAAGAGCAAACCAAGTACCATATGTAAAACACACACCCCAGTTTCCATACCTAATATACACAAATTCCCTCATCTGTTAAAAACTACAAAAAAGTTGATTTTAATTAAAAAACAAAAAAGAAAAAAACAAAAACAAAAAACAAACCATGATCCCTCTTGCATTTGTATTTTCTCCAAGTAAGGAAACCTTCTATTTCTTTTCTTCTATGTTGAGGGTATAACTTTTTAAACAAAACTAGTGCTTGCATTGCTGATGATGTGCACTCAACATACCTAGTCAAGACATTTTGTAAGTCTCTTGAAGGGTAAAATGGTCATTTACGTCTTTGTTAATACAAAGACATAGTAGTTTAAAATAAGATATTGAAATGGTAACGTATGTAGTAATCTTACTCGTGTTCAATGACAATGTGAGCAAAGAACTCCGTAGGATTGAAAATCTATGATGAAGGAGTATAAAATATAAAATCAAATCTTTTGTAACTTAACAATATATATATATATATATATATATATATATATATATATATATATATATATATATATATATAATATATATATATATATATTTTGTTAAAATACCTCCAACCATTCTGATGATCCTGATGGTTCCCATGATGCCACCCCACCATTTTTGCTCTATAATATTATCGTCACAATCAAGTTAAAATGTTTAGAAATTAAATTAAAATGTGTATTGAAGAATCCAGATATTTGTGTCTATTTTTATTTTAGGAATGAAATAGACCTGTAGAGAAAGTATTATGTTGACAGCATCTTGCAGTTTCTCTGGTTTCATTTTTTCACCAACAATTTCCGGTGGCATTGTTGAGAGTAGGAGACAACACTGGGGGCAAAACAGTAATTTGACCATAAGAACAAACGCGATTTATTAAATTACGATTATGGGCTTCTCACATCATACCTTCAATGCTTCAGCAGTAGTGTCTGAACCTTGCCATCCATGATCTTGATCTGAAAAAGTCCACGACCCTTTTGAAATATGTCTGTGCATTTTCTTAAATTCTCCAGAAGGATTATCTTTAACCTAAAACAATAAATAATGATTAAACAATCCAGTAGAAAAAAGTAAAAAATGTTTTTTAAGAGTTTTAAAGACCTGTGAAGCTTTAATAAATTCATGTCCTTTCATCAAAGTAGTCCCAATTTCTTCTGTAAGATCAGTAGCTAATAAAGCTTGGATGGATAAACTAGCATCCCACCCTTGACTTCCAAAACTCTGTTTCAAATTTATAACAATCAATTTCTAGAATTATAAAATTTATTATGTTTAGATTTTTATATAACCTGCATTTTCATTCCATCTTCAGCAACCCAGAGATAATCAGGGATTCTTGCAAGATGCTTTTTGAAACAAGCACCATTTGGATCTTCAACCCAACATGCAAGCATACACAACGCCTACATAAAGGATTGTAGTTTGAAATAATTGAGTAGATTTTTCAAATATAATTGAGCTATTAGATATTTAGATTATGAGATTATGTAACCTTTACAACTGAACCAATGGTGATATATCGACTATTCTCATCTTCATAATGGATATGTTTCATTGTTGTCTCCAATGCTTTCTTTCTTAATTTATTAAATGGCCAACGATTTAATAAAGGCTCAGTGCAAATATATAAACTATCCCACATTAAATCTTGTAGCAACGGATGAGGATAGTATAAATCTTCCTGAAATAATAAGTTTCTGCAAAAGGGTAAGTAAGTATTACGCAAACTAAACTTTTTATAAATAGTAAAAAATGCCACCTTTGCACACAAATGCCTTATACTCTTCCAATTGATTTCATTGTAGGGTTGTGAGTAAAGTTCATCTCTAAGTTGTAGAATCAAAGGAGTGATAGGACCTACAAATCTTTTTCCATAGAGATACGACATTGGCATGTATACAAGCCGACAATAGCACCATAGTTTCGCTGCATTTGTCCATTAAGCCAAGCCCATTAAGCCCAATAAGTCAAAAAGAAACAGACAGTATTCACTATTCACTAACCTGGATACATAGGAAGAAAAGAAGGGAGGATCCAGAACTCTGGAGGCATAGGGTTAGTTCCTGCCCACTCGCACACACCAAGTATCTAAAACAAATAATATTGTATAAGTTTGTTACATATGTATAGAAACTAAAGAATATATAATATATATACAAAAAGAAAAAAGAAAAACTTAAATATCTTACAGAAAGCCATGTTTTACCCCACGATGGGATAGTGGTGACACTGCCATGATCCAAGATCCATTTGCGGGCTTTGGTGCATGCCCCATTCAGACCACCATCCAGACCTTCTCCCAAAAGCCGCATGCAAATGTAACTTAAAGTAGTTCCAAACATCGTGCTATGTCCTTCTATGTGAAACCCCCATCCCGCATCTTCATTCTATAAGCAATAGTAATGTACTTCTATTGATTTGCTTGTTATATCATCATAGTTTCATTTCTTCTTAAGTAGATGTCTTAATCAAAAAAAAATGGAAATACAATATGCTAATGAAAGTACATTGTTATTTCTTGCATACGTTCCGATTTAAAAATAGTTGTACCTGATGGCAATATAAATACCGTAGAATTTCTTTACGGTATTCTTCTCGAAAAACAATGTCAAGATGACCGGTAATATACAGACAGATAACCAACGGTTGTATGAAATACAGTGGGCCTGCATTTTCAGCAGGCCAGTGACCATCACTGGCCTGCAAGGCTGCGAAAAAGCTGACACACCTCTTCAGTGTGGTTGTAGCTTTTTCACACGATATCTCTTCAGAATCCTCTATTTTCACCTGAGGTATCGTTTGTTTGAATTCCTTCTCTTTCAAAAACTACACATTATATAAATAAATATTATCCGCATATTTTATAAACAATTAAACAAATATCAATGAGTTTAAATTTTTGTTCAACCTGCATGCGCCAAAGGATGTCACTACTCGGCTTGACCCGGTGTCGATGGTTCCAGAACTCGGTTTGAGCCTGTTTGACCGCGGCTCGGTCTTCTGGGGTTCCATGGTTCGGGTCAAACTCCCATATTTGTCTCCCAATAAAGTTGTTTGTGGAATAGAGATACGGATCATTGCCTCTTTCTGCTATCTTTAATCTCCACATTTTTTTTTTGTCATGAAAGTATTAAGTGAATGAAAATGAGAAGGAAATATGGTGAAAAGTGTGGTAGGGTGTTGTGTTTTTATATTGAGAAATGTGAATTTATGAACATAATTCTATGATTACTAAGTTATGGGATTACTTCTTAAAGTGATACACGATTTTATATCAGTAGATAGTATATTAGGTATGGTGGAACCATTACTTTATTCTAATTTGAATTATTTGATTTTTTGGTCACGCAATCCATACATGAAGTTTAATTGGAATTATTCAACTATTGCAATCACTATACACAATACGCAGGTAAAGTATCTTTTTACAAAATTCATGCTGTTTAATTTCTATCCACAAGGATACTTACTTCCATTAATCACCAATCAATGACTTTTTGAGTTATTTGATTTTTTGGTCACGCAATCCATACATGCAATCCAATTTGAATTACTCAACTATTACAATCACCATACACAATCAATGAGTGCACTCAAATTCTCATATCTCATAGTCAAAATTATGGAATCCATTCACCACTAACAAGTTAAACCTAAGACTAGGATTGGGAATTAGTGGTCATGTTTCCATCCTTCCATCCATTGGTCCACATCACATGAGTCAGTTTTTCTCTTTCTTCCCGCTCTATCTTCCAACCATCCTTTGTCTTCTTATTCATTTTCATTTCTTGCTTGGGTGGTTGTCTTTCATAACCTACCAAAGTTGATTACCTCAATATCCATAACATGTGTACAAACTGCATAACACTACTAGAAACAGGGATTTCAGAGACGGACCAATCCGTCGCTAAAGAACGTTTGCGACGGATCATCGGCAGACATACTCCATAGGCGGTTAAAGTGTGGCTAATGACTTACAGATGGATTTAGCGACGGATTACTTATTCCTTGCGACGGCCTTAGCAACGGAATATCCGTCGCAAATACGTCACTTAACGTGTTTATTTAGGACATTGGCGACAAAACTCAGTAACATTATTCCCGTCGTTGATCCCTCGCAAAACGCTATCTCTGTTTTTTTATATTCTGTCGCTGATCCCTAGCTAATATGTAAATGTCTTTTTTTTTTTCTTTTTTTTTTGGATTACATATCTAAAACAAAAAGAATACCAAAAACATCAAATAATTATACAATCCTAATCCATTATCATTTAAATCCATAAGCATTAAATAAATATACAATCTAAAACAAACATTAACATTGAAATACTAAAGTTAAACATTGATTGATATTTGATTTCATAATATAATGTAGCAAAATTCTCAATTTCCTATCATATTTTGCATTTCATCATACATCTTCTCCATTCCTACATATCTTGAATCCAAAAGAATGATTGGAATGGAATTGGATTCCGATTCCTATTAAATCCCATGGATTACTGTTTTCAGGTTCAACTTTCTGAGTGTCAATTTCAGGTTCACCATTCCATTTGATCCTGCTTTGTTAAAAGAATGGAGACTGGTTTTTGATCCTCTGTGAAAGAAACAAAAAGATGAGTAATTTGAAAGAAAAAAAAAAAATGTATAAAAGTATACCACATTTTTAAATATACAAACCTAAGCTCCAGAAACAGTCATCAATTTTAACAGACTTGTACAAGTCCCCCTATATTTATATATAAAAAAAGGTATATTAATGAAGTTCATATTTCATAAAACAATAAAAGTACCTGCCATCAATCGTTTCAAGGAGCTTGTTTTGATATTTTCTGCCCAAAACCTACATGTAAATAGAGTCATTAACTTCCATGGATTCTTCACTCTTATAGAAGACAACAAAATGTGTCAGATATAAGAGAAATTGACAAAGCTTGGTGCTAAGATGAATATTGAATTAAGCCAATTGAACACTTCTGCAAACCTTTGGATCACCTTGGTCAGGTAAGGCGGTGAAGCTGGAAGAGTTGGTGAGGCTGATTGCCTCTCCAAGTGGTTACAACGGATCCAATAGTTCTCACCATGGTCTTCAAAGAGATTATGGCACGTTCCAAGGATGGGTCACCCGTTGACCATTCACTTGGAATTTCATTAGTTGAGTTTTCCAATTAGTGGTAATTGCCTCCAGTTTCTCCAACCACTGGATTCCCAGAATTACATCACAACTTTCAAGTGTGAGGGGAAGGAAGTCTTCCTTGATTCCCAGGCCCGATCCTTGCACTTGTAACAGAATTCCTTGGCACCTTCCTTGACCGGAAACCGTCTTTCCGGTTCCCAGTGACACCCCAAAGCTGTTGGGTTTTCTATTGGGTTTTTTAGCCCATGAGGAAAGCCGACTTTTTTGGCCCATGTATATATATATATATATATGTGTTACATGCCCTAATTCCAAAAACACACAAAAATTCTCAACCACCAAGAGCAATAGTGAGAGCAAAAGAGAGAAATCTATGGTTTCTTCAATTTCCGTTTTTCTGGACACACCTTCAGTGTTCCTTCGTTTCCCGCAGATCCAACGGTCCGTTTTCTCTCATTTTTGGACAGCAGCTTCCAAACATCGAGGCCTTGAGATCCAACGGTTGAATTGTCGAGATCAGCTCCAGAGACTCGGGAATCTTCGCTTCTGTTTGCTGCTGGAAATCAGGAACGTTTTTTGGTGATATTTTTTTTTTGTTTTTGTTTATTTGATTCCATATGCTTGATGTGATTTAGTTCCAAGTATATAATGTTATTGTATGCCTCTAGTACATCTAGAGAAGACTTTGTATTGCTCTAATATTAGTGATAGTGGATTTGAAGCGGCTCTAGTAGTCCCGTGGTTTTACTCTCTTTTCTTGAGAGGTTTCCACGCTAAAATTCCGGTGTCTTTATTGGTTAATTACTTATTGTTTTTGGGTTGATTATATTGATCATATAACTTGCATTGGGGCTGATTTGTTGCAAGTGAAACAATCCTATTTGTTTGCATCCTAAAAGGTTCTTTCAAGACAGGAATAGTTTAGTCAAACGAAGTATTATTCCGCATTGTTATTTACCGTTGTGGCTGCGTTTTTCCCATCAAATTGGTATCAGAGTCTGGTTCTTGTTATTAGGTTACTTGTTTGAACAATAGAAGCTAATACAAATAGGATTGTAAATTTGAATGGTTCTAATTATCAAGTTTGAAGAAGCAAGATGGAAGACCTTTATGTGAAGGATTATTATATGCATGTGTTTAATACTGAAAAACCCGATGATAAAACAGATGCAGAGTGGAATATTTTGCATAGAAAAGCATGTGGGTATATTCGACAATGGGTTGATGATAATGTTTTGAACCATATTAGCGCGGAAACTCATGCTCGTACTTTATGGAACAAGCTTGAGCAGTTGTATGCTCGGAAGACCGGGAACAATAAATTGTTCCTGATTAAACAGTTGATTGGCTTGAAGTACCATGATGGAAATCCTATTAGTGATCATTTGAATTCTTTCCAGGGAATTATTAATCAGCTTGCAGGAATGGGTATCAAGTTTCAAGATGAGTTACAAGGTTTATGGCTCCTTGGCACTTTACCAGATTCTTGGAAAAAATTTAGGACATCCTTGTCCAACTCTGCACCAGATGGTATTATCACCATGGAATTGGCTAAAGGCGGTGTTTTAAATGAAGAGATGAGATGAAAGTCACAAGGTTCATCTTCACATTCAGATGTCTTGGTCACAGAAAACAAGGGGACAAGTCAAAGTAGAGGTCCGAATAACAAAGGGAAGCATCGCAGTAAATCTAAAGGAAAATTTGCTGACTATGAGTGCAATCATTGTGGTAGAAAAGGGCACACAATACAATTCTGCAGACAGTTGAAAAGGAAGAACAAGAAGGCAAATTACAACAATCAAAAGAACAACCACAACAAAAAATGATGGTGGTAATTATACTGCTAAAGTTAACACTGCTACCGAAGAGTTCTTTATTTGTTGTGATTATGATATGGTCAATCTTGCACATGATGATTCAAGTTGGGTTGACAGTGGTGCTACTTGTCATGTGACATCACAAAGGGATTTTTACACATCTTACACTCCTGGTGATTTTGGGAATGTTAAGATAGGTAATAATGGGTTATCAAAGATTGTTGGAGTCGGAGATATTTGTTTGAAGTTTGAGACTCGGATGGAGTTGGTTTTACACAATGTAAAACATGTTCCAGATATTAGACTTAGTTTGATCTCTGCTGGCTTACTTAATGATGACGGTTACCATAGTACCTTTGGTGGTGGCATTTGAAAACTCACTCATGGTTCTTTGATTGTGGCAAGAGGTGAAAGAAGCTCAAAGTTATACATGACACATCCGAAGATCTCTAAAGAATCGATCCATGCATCGATACATTATGACATGACCGATTTGTGGCATAAGAGACTTGGTCAAATTAGTGAAAAGGGGATGTCTTTGTTGTTAAAGAAAAATGTGTTTGGTGTTCATGATGTGAATTTGAAGAGATGTTCTCATTGTCTGGCAGGTAAGCAAAATAGAGTTTCCTTTAAGAGTCATCCTCCTTCCAGGAAGGAGAATATACTTGATCTGGTACATTCCAATGTATGTGGTCCCATGAAGACTAGGACACTTGGGGGTTGCTTGTATTTTGTCACATTCATCGATGACTATTCAAAGAATGTATGGGTTTATACTTTGAAGACTAAAGATCAAGTATTGGATGTGTTTAAGCAGTTTCATGTCTTGGTTGAGAAACAAACTGGGAAGAAATTGAAGTGTGTTCGGATAGATAATGGCGGTGAATACATTGGTCCTTTTGATGCTTATTGTAGAGAGCAAGGTATTCGGCACTAAACGACTCCTCCAAAGACACCATAGTTGAACGGTTTAGCAGAACGGATGAATAGAACATTGGGTGAAAGAGTTAGATGTTTGCTTTCACATGCAGGATTACCTGATTCTTTTGGGGGAGAAGCTTTGAATACATCGGTACATGTTATTAATCTTACTCCTTGTGTTCCTTTGTCTTTTGATGTTCATAATAGGGTTTGGAGTGGAAAAGATGTTTCGTATCGTCATTTACGGGTCTTTGGATGCAAGGCTTTTGTGCATATTCCCAAAGATGAAAGATCAAAGCTTGAAGTGAAGATCAAGCCATGTATATTCCTTGGTTATGGTCAAGATGAATTCGGTTACAGGTTATATGATCCAGTTCTGAAGAAACTCGTAAGGAATCGTGATGTTGTATTTGTTGAAGATCAGAGTTTAAAAGATATTGAGAAGACAAAGATAGTTCCTCAATCTAATGATGATCGTGTTGATTGGATCCGGTTCCCCCTCAACATTTTGAGCGGGGTTGGATGAGGATTTTTCATCCAGAGTTATCGGTACCTGATATACCACCATTTGTCCCACTTAGGCGGTCTACGAGAGATCGTCATCCTTCCACCCGTTATTCTGCTGATGAGTATGTTTTAGTCACTGATGGGGGAGAACCTGGTTATTATGCAGAAGTTATGGAAGATGATCATAAAAGAGAGTGGGTTGAAGCTATGCAAGATGAGTTGAATTCCTTGCATGAAAACAATACATTTGAGTTGGTGAAGTTGCCTAAAGGCAAGAGAGCTTTGAAAAACAAGTGGGTCTACAAAGTGAAGACTGAAGAGCATACCTCACGGCCTAGGTACAAGGCTAGATTGGTGGTCAAAGGGTTCAGTCAAAGAAAGGGTATTGATTTTGATGAGATTTCTCTTGGGTCGTGAAGATGGGTTCCATTCGGGTGATTCTTGGTTTGGTTGCTAGCCTTGATCTTGAGATTGAACAAATGGATGTCAAGATAGCTTTCCTTCATGGTGACTTGGACAAGGAAATCTATATGGAGCAACCTGAAAGTTTTCAGGTTAAAGGCAAAGAAGACCATGTGTGTAGGCTTCAAAAAAGTCTTTATGGGTTGAAGCAAGCACCAAGGCAATGGTACAAGAAATTTGAGTCAGTCATGGGTGAGCAAGGCTACCACAAGACCACTTCAGATCACTGTGTGGGTTCTTCCAGAGGTTTGGTGATGATGATTTCATCATTTTGTTGCTTTATGTTGATTGTTGGCAAGAATGCAGAGAGAATTGTTCAGCTGAAGAAACAATTGAGCAAGTCTTTTGCTATGAAAGACTTGGGGCTGGCAAAACAGATTCTTGGCAGTCGGATTACTAGAGATAGAGCTTCAAAGAAGTTGCATATGTCACAAGAGCAATACATTGAGAAGGTGCTTTGCAGATTCAACATGGATAAAGCTAAAGTAGTTAGTTCGCCTCTAACTACCAACTTTAAGCTGACTGATAGAGATTGCCCTTCTACTAAGAAGGAGATTGAAGAGATGGATAGAGTTCCATATGCTTCAGCCGTTGGGAGTTTGATGTATGCCATGGTATGTACAAGGCCAGATATTTCCCATGCAGTTGGTGTTGTTAGTCATTTTCTATCAAATCCGGGAAAGAAGCATTGGGAAGCAGTTAAATGGATTTTCAGATATCTACGTGGTACTTCCAAATTGGGTATAACATTTGGAAATGAAGCACCTATGCTTGTTGGTTATACAGATTCTGATATGGCGGGAAATAAGGACAACATGAAATCCACTTCTAGATATATGATGACTTTTGCAGGGGGAGCTGTGTCATGGTAGTCACGACTGCAAAAGTGTGTTGCTTTGTCCACCACTAAGGTTGAGTATATGGCAACAACAGAAGCATGCAAAGAGTTATTATGGCTAAAAAGATTTATGCAAGAGCTTGGACTTATACAAAAACGCTACGTGGTTCTTTGTGATAATCAAAGTGTCATTCACCTTGCTAAGAATTCTATGTTTCATAAAAGAACAAAACATATCGATGTGAGGTATCATTGGATTAGAGATGCTCTTGTTTAACTACTTGGATTAGAGATGCTCTTGAAGACAACTTGTTTAAACATATCGATGTGAGGTATCATTGGATTATGAGTGGCTCCTGGATCAACAAGAACCACCACTTCTGTGTCTGCCAAAGTGCCCCTGAGTTTAAGTGTTTTTGGATTTGTCATCCTCAGGACCGAATTCAAACAAATTCCAGACAATATCGTGGTTGCCTTGTCCGAGGTGACCAATTCCTCTATTCTAAGTTCTTCTTCCTCCTCTTCTTCTTCTTGCATCAATAACACACCCAACTCCTCTTTGCATTTATGCCCCGGATTCCATTTTTCATCACAGCGATAGCACAACGCTTTTTCCTTCTTGCTTTGTAATTCCTTGTCAGATAATCTCCTAACTTCTCCTGACCCTCGATGGCTCACTGTGTTGCTTGTAGGTGTATAGAATTGAGAGGATGAAGTGCTTTTAGGAG